TGATAGACTGAAGTTTAAAAGGTCCTAAACACATTTTTAATTGTCACCAGATTCAGGGGTTTGAAAAAGGGCCATGTACCAGGCAAGCTGACGGGCAATGATTCTGACCGGCTAGGATGATTTCGCCTGCCTGGTTTGACCATCTGGAGTACTAGTAAAGTTTTTCATCATCACCAAAAAAGCTCAGTCCAAAATAATTTGTCTGCCTGTAAAAACCAGTTGCTTCCTGTTTTAATGAAACCCCTGAATTAGTAAATTTTGTTCCCTCAAAAACCAGTAGCCAGCTTTCTGGTGTGTCACCAATCTTTAATCTCTCCTTTAGAAAGTGAACTTTAAAAAAAAAATTATTAAAAGAGAGAACGGAAGTTATTGGTAGAGGCTACATGCGTTGTTCTGTGATAGGAAAATACGTCAATATGTAGTTCAGTATGCATGAAAGACAAATTAAAGTATTAGGTTTTCAGGATGATATGAGACTTTTTCATACCTTAAAAGGTTCATCGATTTCTGGCAAATGTTGATTATCCAAGACCCAGCTAGCTGCAGCATCAACAGAACTGTTATAGGTCATGAAAAGACCCTAAAATCAAAAACCAGGCAAGGCAATTTAAATCTGAGCATTATATATAATAATTTATAAGCCTTGAAATGTCCCTTAAGATGACCCTATCTGTTAAACGAATATAGCTGTCAGGTTTGGGGGGTGCTTGCTTCTCAAGGAATGTGGTTTAATTTAATTTGGTCACAGGGGGCTTGTCCCACGAACAGTTCACATGAACGTTTTTGAGTTAGGGACATGGCAAGGACTTTTCTCTTCAATTCAAACCAGTTTAAAACTTCTTGTCAATTCAAACCAGTTTGAGCTCGTAGGAAATTTGAACACATTGGTCCATATTTTGACAAGAATGGCTAGTTCACAGGAAGCGCCTTTTACCAGTGATGTTGCAAGGACTAGAAGCAGGAGCTTGTCCCCTCATGTTGCCGACCTTTAGTACAAGTTAGTATTTGAACTTAGAGATCTCGCATGTTATCGAAAAGACCACTAATAATACAACTTAATATAAGCTATGGATTCCTGTGCTGTGATTGGCTACCCAAGTGGGCAAGATGGCACTACCTCACCAGCTCAGGATTACGTGCTGTCTCTTGCAAGAAAATAGTTTTTTGTTTTTTTCCATAAAATAAATCCTTTATTGACCAAGCTTGTTTGGTCAAGATGGTTGGATATTTGCCTCGTTCTAAATTTTGTGTGGCGACTCCATCTCGGTCAGTAAACACGCAAAAAAATGAACCTGGCCAATATCCAGCCATCTTGACCTCACAAGCTTGGTAACCCAAATATCTTGAGCTTAACTTAGTTTTAGGTTTTTTATTTGTATTTTTATTTTTTGCATGAAACCGTCAAGATCCACACGAAGCTAGACGGATCGCTCATGCTTGGTCTAACCAAGAAGAAAATTTATATCCTACAACCATTCGCCATTAATTTTCCCGTACTGCACGGGGCATGTGCGTATCAAAGACACACATATGTTGGACACGTGAGCACGTCACAGAAATTACGATTTTTCTACCTTCTCTGCTGCATTTCTGGATATCCCTAAATTCATCAGCATTTGCAAAAACTCCTGGTTTGGTCCATCGTATTTTGATTTTTTCCTTAGACGGGGTTGGACTTGTTCTGTTACTTCTGACGAGCCGCTCACAATTTCGGATAGTTCTTTCTTCGTGTCTGCCGGGGTGTCTGCCATGTTGACTGATGGGGCTTGGAACTACATGGGTACACTACGCTTCCTATTACATAGTGTATAAGAGATTTTCTTTACCGAACCGCTGCTCGATTCTTGAGCCAGTCTCAGGCCCCTAGAGGTTTGCCCGAGTTTTTTTCGTAGGCTAGGATATAGACTTTCTAAAACCCGGTCCAAAAGTCCTTTCCAAAAGTTCTTCCTTGGCCTGTTGGTTTCGACTTCGCTCAAACATTGCCCTCTCGCTTCGCTCGATGGAAATAAAAGCAAAGGTCGACTTGCGGGAAGTCTAGCTAGGATGCCCACTACACTGTCTGTCGTTCATCAGTTACAGCTTCACGAAGGACGTCTTCATATCGTAACCCAAAACAATGCCAGTGGCAAGTTTAGCTCGGTTTTAGTTAAGCTTAGTTTAGTTTAGCCTTGAGTTCACTTCGATTATCGCCCACGAGGGAGACCTTTGAGCTTCGTCCCTCCTTCCCTCCCCTTACATAATCTGTGCCGTTGACGTTTCTGTTAAAGATTGAGCTTGTCTTTATCAGTGTCTGTCAGAGGTGCCTCTATCCTTGGCTATATGGACATGCAATAGTAAGTTTCTGTAAATAGCCATCTTTTAAGAAGCAGTCGCCAGAGGGCGCGAGTGTCGGCGCGAGTAGAGCTCGCGAGTAGTAATATCAGGGACCAATAAGGCGCGACATGGAGCGCAGCCAACTCGCGCAACGCTCAACCACTAGTAAGCAGGTTAGATTCTCGGGTAATCAAGCACTCCCTCTGCTCAAGCGAGCGACAAACATTGGACCTCAGGGAATCAGGTTACCTCCTTTAGCGGAAATAGAGGACAAACCAGTAAGCAAAACGAAAATCAACATCATTATAGTTATAAAGAACGCGACGCAGAATACAAGTATAATTTCCCTACCAGTAGGTTACAGATAATTTATTAAAATTCATTTCATTGACAATGACTTGCTTGGCTTCAATTTTAAATTTCTTCACCCTTCAATTGTTTAGTTTACTTCAAGGATCTTGAAGTTCGAAACAAACCTTATTGACCACGTCATTTCATTTTCTTTTCTTTACAATATTAAATAAATAACAAGTGAATCATTTTATTGCCAAAATCATCGCCAAAGTTGGATTTTTCAGGTTGCGAGGAGAAAATACGTTTAAGTGAGATTTTTTGCCTGTTTGCTGCGTAAAAATTTGTGAAAAAACACGTTTTGGTGATGATCTCACTATCAAACTCAACCTCGTTCCCAGTCTCTGTGTTTCCCGCGGGAAGACGAGAGACCATGGGAACGAGATTGTATCAAATTCTATTCTTACACCATATCGTCAAAGGTCCTGCCTCTACAACGCCCATTTTCAATTGAAGCCTTATTTACAACGAAGAGCAATACACGCCTCGGCGATGACCAAGAGCAAAAAGCGAGAGTCAATCGTGAACTGACGTTGCAAAACGAGTTAATAAGCTAAAAACAACAACAAAGAGAAAAAGAGATAAATCGGTGCTTGCATGACCGTAAAAATCTCTTTGCTAATGCCACAGGTATGCACTTTAGTGGATTAATAGCACCTGTTCCATTTGATGCAAAAAAAATGTGATTGACTCCCCGTTAAAATATTGTTATAATATTCTTATCAGAACTAGATCCCGAAATAAAACGCAAAAGAATTTCGTGGGTTCGCCATTCTGGCTCGCTTAAATCTCTCTAGGTCTCGCACATACTGATGATTCTTCGTCATTGTAGAGTATCATCTCTGTGTGTCATGATTTGTCTCGTTGATAAATCTTTTGCACAAAATTCTGTAGCGGAGTTCCTAGCGATATGATTCTGTCTCTCATTGTTGTGACATGCCCTGTCACGCTGTCCATAACAAGTCGTACATTGTCACTCTCTTGGTATCTCCATAATACGGCCAGTATTAAAATAACCACGCTTGTTACTACAATACGGAACCTGCAAAGATAGAGAAGATAGCAACTGTGAGTTTCTTTAGGTTTGTCATAGCCTGCTATGTAGACAAGGTTTGTCACGGAATTATTCCTCCCGGGCGAATGTACAAATCCGTACACGGGACAAAGTAATTTCGCTCTAATAACGTCTCTAATAGGCTTGGCCGCCTCACTAACCAGTTAAGATCTTGGGTGACCGGTTTTTACAGCGCACAAAAAGACAGACATTGGAATAGATGACGTGAAATTAGTGATGTATAATCAAATCCTCTAGACAAGAATTTCCGCAAATGTATCAAAAATAATTCCGATAATTCTTCAGATGGTTACAAATACAACTAGGAGTTTCTATGAATATCCTTACTCACTGAACTTGCGAGAAAATGAAAAAAAAAAAAAAAACCTTCCGCAAAATATCTAGTATGCGAGATGCAGTGTTAGAGAACCCGGGGAGGGGACTCCCCGGACGGGGGTGCTCTTCGTACCTTATAGGGATTAAAAACGCCGTATTGGTACCTCGCCTCAAAAGGTCCACAGCAGGAGCTTTTGCGGTACCATTTAGGGTATTGAGCCGAAAAAAATATGACAGGAGGTAATGCGTTGCTTCAGAATTGGTACCTGTTAGGGGTGAAAAACATTTCAAGACACGCCCACAAAACAGAATCTTGGTACCTCTTAGAAGTTCTTATCAAAATTTTCCCCGTCCCTTTTATAAGGTAGCACCCCCCCCCCCCCAACCCGGGTTAGAGGTCAGCACCGACTGGACAAGACAAAATCGAAGCTTACCATGTTCTTGTGAAGGGAATAACTATTCTGGCTAGTGTTGTGCATATGATAAGTACAATCTGTAAGATGGCCAGGATCATAGTGAGGAATTTTGATAAAAGCGCTTTGGCCTGAGCGCTCTGATCCAAGTAATCGTCCAATCCCATCATTTGTTGGCTTTGCTGTTGTATAGCTTCGATTTTCAAAACCTGTAGTCAGCAGAAAAAAATAACCATGTCATTAAAAACAGAGACCAGCAAGTACTTTACAGTGAAATACCGATTTCTTAAACTCTTGATATTTTGAACCTCCCGTTAACTCGAACCAAAAGTCGTTTCGGCGAGTTTCGTGACAAAGAAGGTTACAGGAACGCTTTCCAAGAAATGTACAATGTTTATATTCACTGTAAATTTTACATCGGTAAAGCGATGTCTGCCGTGAAACATTCAGCAGTTAAAAAACCAAANATGAGGTTGACAGGCCTGCACGACTTCCAAGTGCGTGTTGTAGCCTTTTTTCATAGCTTGGCTCTTACGAGTATATCTTTGAACGAACTACCTCTTTAGCACGAAATGAGGGGCGAATCCTAGTAGATTTCGCTCAGTTATGGTTGTTGTTCCTCCGGTTTCTTGAACTACTCGACTTTTCAAACCAATTTTCGTTTCCCTTGGAGGTTCGAAAAATCGGGATTCCATTGTATTTGTATTATGGCAAACCCTTTTAGTCCCAGGATCAAAATACTTATTCTCCTTACTTACTTACTTACAGTCATTAATTCTAATTCCAGTTGCAAGAACTTAATGGTTCATTTCTAGTACTAGTGGATTGTTACTTCTCTTACACCCTGCATATCTATCTACCTACATCAATTGAATACGCTTAGTTTCCTTGCCACACACCCCTCAAGTCACAAGGCGTTTCTCAAGTCTAACACAACCAAAGTGATACAATTTCGTGACCTTCCGCTGACTATGAAAATTTCTGTAGTTTGTTTTACCCCATATAATTAAGCTTGTGTGTTGATCTGTTTAGCCACGCATTGAGTCCCTTTCCACTCCTCAGCTCTCATGTCACTACTTATTTCAATAAAAATTCGTCTTTACGACGTCGTTGCTTTTCATAGCCAGAACTTTCACTTGCTTAGGCTGTCCTTACAACGCCCTTGTCTTACCCTAGTGACGTAAGAATCGAGCGCCTCTTCAATCTCGCTTGCTCGCTCCGCTGACCGATATTCCACTAACTCAATGCGTTCCTCGGCTCGTTCGAGTTCTTGTTTTACCGTTATCATCTGTCATAAAAAAATGAAAACAAAAGTTTAAAAAAAACACTTACAGTTACAGGTGTTATCTTTTCAGGGATCTCAACTAGATAAAACGAACGTTAAATAATTAAATAGCCTCAATTACTGTCACGCCTGTGTTTGAGTCACGTAATTGCTATGCTTTTGAAGTCTGAATTATGATGACAGCCGTACCCCTTCCCTCTGAGAGGATTTTCTTCTCACCTCGTTCTGACGTAGTTCTGACACGTCATTCCACTCTGTTGTTATGCTGTTTAGTAAATCTCGCAGTTGCTGTGAGGGAACAAAGGACGCATTAGCGTTGGTAAAGGTAAAGTCTGCATACGAGCCAAGTGGCCCATCAGGCTGGAGGTTATACTGGTTTCAGTAGAATAAAGCGAGTGAGTATTTCTGCTACCCTCTGGATGGGATGATAGTCCATCGCAGGATTACCTCCTACCATCAAATAACTTAACACCTGGGTGCAAAGAGGCACTGTGAGAGTAAAATGTCTTGCCCAAGAACACAACACAACGTCTCCGGCCAGGGCTCGAACCATGAGACCAGGGCGCCTTTGCGACTTATTATTACGTTTACAATATTTGGAAGTGGTAGGAGAATAATACGAAGAAAAACAGTCGAGAAAAAAATCGTATCGCATCAGCTACAGCACAAAAAGTACAAAAATTGACATCAGCTTGCCACCAGGCACTTCGTGTAAGTCACATGTATAAGTCACGTATGTGCACGCAAGAGTAACGCAGTCTCAAAAAACTCCTTTTGGGGGATTAATGGTACTTTTGTTTTCCATTGGATCACATCAGAAGTAAATTTAAAAAAATATAGTAATCAAATGGTAAATTATAACAGTGGTAAAACACAAAATAAAAACAAACCTCTGAATTGCATCGTTCCTCTTGAAGTGATTCCGCAACAAAGTCTAGCTGTCGCTGAAAACAGAAGTGCATGCTTGTTATAGAAACATTCCCTGATTCAATTCATGTTCCATACAAAATAATTTGGCTAGAGAGAGGGTTACCGATTCTAGTGTATCTTAAGATAGGATTCCCTCATTAATCACAAGATGAGTATTTTTACCTCTTCTCAATTACCCTCTCACCTCCTCGTTTCAGGAGAGGGTCTGAAATGTCTCTGTACCTTCTTCAACACCGTCTGAGAAAATGCTTCTATCTCGAGCCTTCGCATTTTCCATCAATGATTTTTCATATATTCACTTACATTCTTCACCATCTGCGGATATATTACGAACTCACAACTACGTTTCATAAAGAATTAAACAACTTACCTTCAAGTTATCTATGAGTTCCTGCAGTCTGGCGTTAGTTTCACGAAGTTCGATAATATCGTGATCATAGGACGTGGGGGGACTGGGCGGAAGGCTGTGACGTGGGCTGTTTCCCGGGAGCGTAACGCTGAGAATGAAACCGACAGGGTTAATTTACAATCTCAAGGAAAATTCAAGGCTGGCATAGATTTAAACACATACAGTGATATAAGTAATAATTTGACTTGCGGCACGTTTTTGATATATGGGAAAACAGGCATTATACCTCGTCCGCTTGTTTACAGCAATGTTTCGCAAAGTATAGATAGTGACGTGTGTGTGTGTGTATGTTTGTTTGTTTGTTTGTTTTGTGTCCCTGACCTAAACAAGTAAAATGTCTTTTCTTTTCACTGGTTGCCTAGCATTTTTAACTCCTACGTTCTTTGCGGTAGCCAGCACCCCTAGCATTTTTAATTTTAGTTTTTAATTTTATTATTGCAATAAATTATTTCTACTTTGTGGCGAAAGAAAGTTTTTGTTGTAATTATGTTCGTGCTGTAACTGTGGTATATATACACGAGGACCGGCAAATTACTTCAGGACAGCTAGACAAGAGGTCAGGAGTACCCTGCAATGAACCAACATCCCATCAGGGGAGGGGAGGAGGCAATACTCCTAGCCGCTTCGTGCCACAAAAACCGGAGAAGACCGCTGACACCAATGAGTCAGCTGGCCCAGGTTCAGTCCAGTTCCCAGGACTGAACGGACTTCATGTATGCACTGTTCTAGCCTGCGTAGCAGTCTTTTCCGTTTCCTTTCAGGCAAGCAGGAGTCGCGCGAGGGCACGGGGACAGAGGTAACAAAAAAAATTAGTGACAGGACCCCCTCCCCCTTTTTCTAACTTTTTGCTCTCGCCCCACGCTTTCGCGCGACTTCCCCTTGGTTCTCGCTTTCTCCCGTTTAGAGGAAACGGAAAAGACTGCTACGCAGGCTAGCAGTGTTCAGATGGGAACTTACTACCAAATCGACAGAATTAATCTACTTTGTCAGATTTTCGAACTCACCCGATGTGCGTGGCTGATGCTACACTGGAAGAATCATCATCGCTGTTGTATCTGGCCGGGCTTAAAAGAAAAAAAAAAACATTTTGAGTAAAAATATTTCACGACGTCTTTGCAAAGATGGACAGTAAACTGCCCTGTAACTGTCTGGTTTTAATTCTACCCAGCCAGTCACCTTGATCTCTTCACGCTTTTCTCTTCTCCGAATCAAACCTTACCCCTTCCCTCCTCTCCAACCCTCTTCACACCCTTCAAAACAAGCAAAATAGTACGACACAGAAGTTCTGAAACAAGTTTACCAGTGACTAGTGCATGTAACACTGGTTACAATCGGTGGCGATTTCTGGAGTTCCTCGATTTTGGTCGATTGAAAAGAAAATCAAACCACTCTATGGTGTGCAACCATCACGTTCTATGTCACACAAGAGCGAGAACAGTTGCGTGACAACGAAAAGATTACGGCCGCTGAGAACACGTTTAGATTTACCTGAGATTAGAATCTCCTGCGAAACTATCTTCACCTGCAGGACTGCTAGGTTCTTCTTCAAGTCCATCTATCTCTGAAATTATAACACACACCACTTTCCAATCACAAAAAGTCTTCACACGGCAACTCCTCCACAATTCGCTACGAGAAGAAACCTAGGGCAAGTCTTCTCATCTCGCAGTGGCTTGTGAGACCGTTACCAAGGACAAAACAAAAGATGTCCCCAACAACGATCCCATAAGGGACCGCGAGATGAGCCTCGCCCCAGATAAAGTGGCGAGAACTTGGAGAAATCGCCCAACCATTTTTCTTACCCACATTTTCGCTACTGTACAGTGAAGTAAACTGTTACTTGATCACGAGAAAAGAAACTAAAACCCAACATCTTCACTAGAAGACAGGGACCACTAGGTGCGAGTCCAACTACGAGAATAAGTCACAGAAACAAAGCCAACGAGTTTGTTCTACATGATTTTAGAGAGCTTTCGTTTGCCAACTTTGACATTTTCATTCGTAGTTAAAAAAAGACGGTTGCCGCGATTTATCGCTGCCACAATAACAAACGTTAAAAAGAAGTCTGTTACTAGCCCTTTACCGTTGGGAAATCTTGCATAGGGTGTTTTCACTCATGTGGCCAGCACACTTGCAAATTGATTGGAACTAAAGAAAATGTTTACATCAGAAACGAGTTCAACTCCCGCAGGATTGGTTCGGTAAACTAGCCAGTATTACACAGTCTATTGACGCACAAACATGGCTGCCGTTTAATTGTTTTGGAACACCAATATGGCTACTGGTTCATTGTTTTGATACACCAACAATGACTGCCGTTTCATTGTTTTGGTACACCAAATATGGCTGCCGTGACGTCATGTGAAAACGCTCTATCCGACTCGGATCTCAGGCCCTCTGCTGTCTTTGCAGGTGCAACAAAATNGCATTTTTGATTAGAAAAATTGCCATTTTCATGCCCTAGAAAGCAGGAAAATGCATTTCCAGGGGTTTCATGCTCAAAAAATTGCTGGGGAGGGGGGTGGGGGCATGCCCCCAGACCCCCCTAGATGCTCAGGCCCTTTCGGGCCTTCAGAACGTGGCCGTGGGCCATTTATTTGACTGCTACGGGTGATAACTTACATGCAACGGCTGCTTCAAAACTTAATGACAGCCCTGTTAATGTACAAAGAGTGCATGCACCAAATAAAAGGCATCAACCGATCATTACAATATTAACAAAATACAACTTACGAAGATGGCATTGCTCTTTCTCTGATCTCAGCCAGGACTTTAGAGAATTGTTTATGTCCCGCTGTTGGCACGTTTAATTTTAACTTCAAAGCACTATCCTCAGTCTGTAAAAGACAATAAGTGACAGAAGTGATTTACTGTACATCATCATGAATGTATTTTAAACTATTAATTACCTCTTTTTGAACACCCATAACTTTGCAAGGAGCTCAAAATCATGCCTACACTGTACACTACAGATTATAGAATAATAATATTACAACAGTTTGATTCTGTACAGCATGCAGTAGTCAGCAATACAATAATAAGAGCCAATTAAAGTCACACCCCTTTAGAGCAGACACCCTCGGGTGAATGGGAGGTGGTCACTTAATAGGTGTTGGCTGCTTAATAGTGGTTTGTGTACTTTTCGATGAATACTTTTTTAGATTGGGTTAATTGATTTGTGAACATACTGTACATGTAGGGTCATGCCAAGACAATCATAATAAAAGTGTTCGAATGCTTTTAACAGTCATACAATACAGTACTTATTAGATTGACAATTATGTGACTTTGATAACTGGCTTCTTATTAAGGGATGGCCTGGCACATAAAAGGGGTTCAACCGTACCTCAATGATTAGCGAGGATGGAAACACTGATGATCACAAAAAATTATGTGAAAATCAAATTTGACTACATGAAGATAATGTCCACTTAAGCTTTCAACCATGCCATCCTATCATGAAATTTGGCCAATAATCAAAATTTTTATAAACTCTGAATGCAGACGTACTTTATTCTAAGCCATCTTGGTGCATTCCCAACTGCGTGTTTTAGCTACTGTTAGAAAGTAACACTTGCTGACCCATTTTACAGTCATGGATAATTTTCTATCATTGTTCATTTTTTTGCTATTGACTGAATTTATTTACATAAATATAATTATTGGGTAATCAAAAGGTGACCAGTGAAATTGGGAAATAACTTCAGCCACATTTTGTCCAATATCTTAAAATTATTATTCAAATTTTAACAAAATGTAAGTGAAATAATTTCTAATTTCACAAATATACATCTGATTACTTTTTAATATTGTGGGTGATAAATTATGCCTACAATCATGGGCTTTTGACTTGTTTATTTATAAAGAAATTCTGTGCCAAACATTGAANTAGGGTCATGCCAAGACAATCATAATAAACGTGTTCGAATGCTTTTAACAGTCATACAATACAGTACTTAATAGAATGACAATTATGTGGCTTTGATAACTGGCTGCTTATTAAGGGATGGCCACATAAAGGGGGTTCAACTGTACCTCAATGATTAGCGATGGAAACACTCAGTGATGATTACAAAAAATTAATAATGTGAAAATCAAATTTGACTACATGAAGATAATGTCCACTTAAGCTTTCAACCATGCCGTCCTACCATGAAATTTGGCCAATAATTAAAAGTTTAAAAAACTCTGAATGCAGATGTACTTTATTCCAGGCCATCTTGGTGCATTCCCAACTGCGTGTTTTAGCTACTGTTAGAAAGTAACACTTGCTGACCTATTTTACAGTCATGGATAATTTTCTATCATTGTTCATTTTTTTGCTATTGACTGAATTTATTTACATAAATATAATTACTGGGTAATCAAAAGGTGACCAGTGAAATTGGGAAATAATTTCAGCCACATTTTGTCCAATATCTTAAAATTATTATTCAAATTTTAACAAAATGTAAGTGAAATGATTTCTAATTTCACAAATATACATCTGATTACTTTTTAATATTGTGGGTGATAAATTATGCCTACAATCATGGGCTTTTGACTTGTTTATTTATAAAGAAATTCTGTGCCAAACATTGAATGGCAATTTTGAAATTTCCCATGTGAAATTATAAATTACTAACACTGAAATTTCTTGCCAAAATTAAGGAGTAATTTGTCACCCATGATTTTGTTAAATAAGTTATCTGAGTAAGTATTTTTCATACTTCAGAATCCTCTTTTCCACTATGTGTACCATGATTCTCTTTGCTTCTACCAAATAATCTGTGAATACCTTCAAAGAAAAATATTCACAGTGCTCATTATTTATAATTTGATGTACGAGAACAGTATTTACTGTGGTGACCTTAGGGAGGAGCCTGTTCCCATGAACTTTTTTCAGGTGTCCTTAATAAAAATAATGTGGTATACTGTACCGCACAAAATCAATTCTGACTCTTAGCCCCTCAAAAGGGTTTCTTTTAGTGACTTGTTCAAGTTCAATTTTTAATTGAATTTTACCAAGTGATGTACATGTACACAGAGCACTGTGCCAGACAGTATTGAAAACCCTTGTATGTACATGTAAGTACTACAGATAGTATGTGTGCTGGGAATGATGAGTTTATCAGGACTTTCTAGATACATTTTACTTGAAAATGTTTTACTTTGACCAAAAGGCAAGATATTTTTATATTTTCTAATATTATCATTAAACTCAGAATTTTATTTCAAAATAATTGCATATATTAGAGAGATTTAAAAACAATTAAATCCCATTTTCTTGTTGTGCAATACAATACAGGTTTAAAATTGTTTTTCCCCCATCACTTTATGGTCTACAGTACACTTATGAGTAAATGGAGCACAATATTGATTCCAAAAACCTTGGGAAAACATCTATTTTACAGTATATTAGACCTTAACCAAGGCTAATGGAATGTCTCCATAATGGCACACAGAAACAAAGCACAGACATTACAAGATATAAATTGTGAAGATCTCTCCTGATCAGATTTAACATTGAGGGTCACCATTTACAATTTTTGACTCACCAAATGCTTTGCTGTTACGAGGAGAAGAAGGAGAGTGTGACCCAGCGTTTGCGTCCAAAGAAGACAGAGATGTCGCACTGCCGTTTAGTGATCTAGGGCTCTGTTTAGGCAGCTGCACATGTAATCCTACATTACAAGAAGATAGCTACTGGTCACATTTTTGTTGCCACAATTTTTACATATTTGACAGTTTACATAAAAAAGTCTCGCCCTGGAGAATTCTTGTACAACTAGGTGTACACTGTAGCCAACAGCTCAATGGTTAAAAAAACTACAAGGTAATGCGCATGTATTATGTCAATATTGGTACAGTCATGAATGGCATCATTAATTTTCTTTTGGAGTAATGGAAACCAGCTTTCTAGTCATCTGGCCAACACAAAAACTAGGTTTTACCTACAATAATTTGTTGATTCAAAATAATCGAATTACATTCAATATTAGGGTTTTGCAAGAAATAAATGAGTTTAGAAATACACTTGTTAATGTTAAATAAAGGGATTAGTGGTGAACCTTTACTTCATCTTGTAATAATATATTAGCCAAGTTTGTGTTTCCTATTCAATCTTCAATCATATCTAGATCATGAAAGCGTGAAGACACAACATTTTGAATGCACTATTACTCAAACTGCGATTGTCAAATTGAGAGTATATGTGGTGCAGAGGGGGAGTCAGAGAGAGAGAATGTGTGTTGTTAGCATTGATATATAAACGGGTGTTCTGGCAGCCATGATATTTGACTTGTTTACTTTCATTGCCAACAGCTGTGCATAAATTGAAAAAGAAAACTTAAAACTGGAACCAAACCAGTATAAAATGATCGATGGACAATGACAATTGCAAGACAGTCACATTCCCAGTTTAAAAATATTTTCTGCAGCTGGAGGACAATAAATAATTTTTCAAACAACAATTATATTCATTTGAAAGTTATCCAAAAATTTTCGAACGAACAATCATGGTCTTCGAGTTCACAACAAAAATTGAGGGAAATTTTGCAATTTTGCATTTCTTCAAGCTAACTTTCATTAGTCTAGGTGCAGATCTTTTGGTGGCATAGAAGAAGACTCATTTAAAAATACCAAAGAAATAAACATTGTGCTTTATCGATAAAAAAAGTAAAACAGTGTATAAAGCTCATTGTTTACATTCAATAGAAAAGTATTTCCAGACTGCCTCCGCAGTCCAAAGCTATCCAACAGAGCAGAAGTAACTCGATTACAACATGATTAAACTATACTCCCGACTGCCCAGTGCAAATATACGAAGTTACAATCATTGTATGGACATATTTCTTATGTTCGATTACACCGTATTAACGTAGAATATTGTGCAATACCCCCGAAACGCGCTAGTAACGCTTTGAGAGCACAAAACAACACCAGCAGCTGGATACGAGTACATCTGTTTGTTTGCAGAGCCGAAAAGAAAGCTTTTGAAAGGAAGAGGAAACTAATTTAGATGTTACCTTGAAATCAAGAACCTTGAAAGAATCGTTGAATGTCTTTCACGGACGACTGAGCAAAGGAAGCACTCATTATTTTGGTTAAAAACGATTTCGGTGAACTTCGCTCCGGCATCAACAACGACGTAATTGGCAGAAATAACGCCGAAACCATCGTACAGCTGAAATCATGAATAAGTGATAGCTTATGACGAAATCATCTTCCAAACGACAATTATAGGGATGCCTCGATAAACAGTTCTTCGAGTTCTGTTGACATGTTTTATGAATGACCCGCTGCCGTAGGGGTCAACACCAATTTGTACACGTCCATTAGCGAGAGACCTAACATGGCCGTTTATATGGCATCTCATTGTTAATCCGACAAAGAATCGGGTTAAAAGCAGCGCAGCAAAAATTGCTGACTGTTGCAGCAGAGTAAAAACAAATGTAAGTTAATTTTCCTACACCGGTAACAAAGAAGGTCAAGAAAGCTTAAGACTTACAATAATTCAAAGATCACAAAATCAAAACGTCGACTACGTGACATAGAGTTGAACTTATAAACTCAAATAAGGCCAAATATATCTTCTCAAACGTGACGATTATCAGTCACGGAAGCAGACATCCTTGCGAGGGAATCTTTGGCGTGATTTCAGCAGTACTACTAAAAAAAAAATCGTATTCTACCTCGCACTTTTCTCTGCGGTGATGGAGGTGCTTTTGTCGACATCTTTGCATGACGTGTTTACGCAGGTCGATCGTGAAATATCCTCCCCATTGGAAGTAAAAGTCTCCAGATTCCTTTCTCAGAGAATACTGCAACTGGTAGGAGATTATACCGGGCATTGAAGACACCCATTACATCTTAATCTTATCAAATTATGGGTGCGGAAATCGCCTTCTTTAACAGCATAACGCCAACAAAAATTACAGGAGACTGTTTATCTTCCCATGATGCAGTTGTAATTTGAAACCGAGGCTGAGGAAAGATGGCGCGGAAATTTGCAAAGGAAAGCAAAATCACGTTTTCAGTCCTTTCTAAAGGTAGATATCCGTAATAAACAAAATAGCCTTCCGTTGCTTTGACAAGCCTGTGGGTGGAGTTCAAAGCCCTCAAGGTTGATGAAGGCTAGTGTCACGCTCTAACTTATTTCCTTTCTAAAAATAAACAAGCCGTGACAGATATGACGTCACTACATGTACTATAGGGCGAAGTTTTCCTTATTCGACGCGGAAAAAAATGCTGTCAGAGGTTTCATCCAGATTTATTTTCAACAGAAAGTTAAATACACCTGGTTTGGGAACATAAGCCGTATTGGTTTTGATATGGGAGTGACAACGTCGCGGTTTTGACCTTTTTCATCTTCTCTGCCATTTTTCAACCGCTTTCTTCGTTACTTTTTTTTTTTTCGTTTAATTTTCTAATAAGGAGACTAGCTCTTTTTTTAATGAATACCTTTTGAATAATATGCAGCTATATGGCGTAATGTAAGCCTGGTTCCTTCCCACCAGTTAATTATATTTCGTTAATTATATTTTTTCTTGATTTCGCCGCCGTTTTTTAAAAACTTCAGGGTTATTACTTCGCCATACAAATAAAAAAGCTTGTACTTTAAATGACGCAAAAGCAACTTTTTGCCCCTAGCCTCGTTAGTTATTCGAATTTTTTATCATCGTTTATGTGTTGCCTGGCTTCAAAATTCTAAAATGTCTCTATGAATCTTTTTTTTTTTTTTTATCTACGAGGAGCAAGGACTCGCCTCCTCGTGTTTGTAGGCAGAACAGAAAGGCGACATTGAAATTGAGCATGTTTCTCGGCACGTTTTATCGATGTACCGGTTCTCTGCCCACCGTCTACCCAACCATTCTAACATGTTTCGGTCTAGACATGTCATCCACTGTTTTCTCAAACCTTAAATACCTGTTTATGACACAAAAAAGTATGAAAGAAACAAAAAAAGAATTGTGAGGTCTTAGACTGCAGGTTGGAGAATGCAGGCCACAGCCAAAACAAAACTCACGTTGGCTTTTCCCCTCCCCTCCCAGATCTACGTGGTCTCCCTCGCAGCCGCTCACGCCGGAGTCATGCAACTACATGAACAGGTACAATGTTGTCTGTAGGGATAGAATAGCAATAATCCAATTAACCACCTATAAGGTGTTGAAATCAGGAATTTCACCTTGTGTCACGCAGGCTCGATGATTACTTTCTTACAACGACTGAGACTTGATCTACAGAGCAGTGATATTCGACAGTGCAGTATAACAGCAACGTTACAATCGACATGAAAAAGGGCACGCTCTGCAGAGTCAGTTTTATATGCATTTTTAGCACTCTAGGTTTTTCACAGTAATGATCAAGTAATTGTCTGCGACTCACATTATTTCCTTACTTCAGTCGTGTAATTTCCGGACCGACTAGCTAGGCTTCGCCGCTCACTCGAGTCCGTTCTACAACATTCGAGCCTACGGTCTGCTAACGAGTAAGCACAGTGAAAATATAAGTTTTGACTGAGTTAAATCGAATTGTGCACGTGACGGTTGCAATGGTAGAATTCGTGAGGTATAGCAATCTCTACAAAATTAATTAATTTGAGACGTTGAAACGTCTTATTACTCCTTGTGAAATTATATAAACTATACAACGTAGCGAGTGTGGTACTGTTACTGACCTTCAGTAGAATTTACTGTAAAATAAATAGTCATCTTTGCGAAATCTCCCAGAGCGACAAAAATCTGAAGAGCTGGCTGACGCCCAGCTAGTCATGCATTGTGAAATGATGTCTACAACAGCCAGTGAGAACGTATGTCCGAATGTAATTTATTTCTCGTATCAGAAGGAAGGCGTCACATGATGAATAAATCACGCGCAAAACGTGAAGCCGTTTATCTCAGAAATGAAAATGGAGGGATCGACGACGAAATTGGTGTAATTAGTTGTGCAGCTAAGCGAAATCAGTCATTTTTCAAGGTTGGTTTGTTCTCTGGCATGTGGCATGGTTTAGTCGAAGTTTAAGAATTCAAAATTATACATTTAGTTTACTCGGTCCAATGTGACCCCCCACCCCACCCCATTGTGTCTAAGGTCTAAAACGTGATCTAGCTCGAGCTAGCTCATCCCGGCGGCGCACCGCTGACCGAGGAGCCGCCGGGCTCAGGGCTCCAGTAGAGGGCCGAGCAGCAGTGCGTAAACAATGTCGACTTGATCCCTCCGGCTTGTTCTTACAGACCTGACTTGCCAGTTCATGCTTTGAATCGAAAAACAGTCAAAACAATGTAGTTTACTTTCCCGTTTGTAAAGCAGCTCTATTTGACAGAAGAGCATAATTTATCGTTTGAGTGCTGCTTGAATATAAATCTTATCAAAATTTAATAACAGCTACGCTGCAACAAGAGAAATGAATATACATTTACATTCCCAGTGCACGAACGTTAGTAAACCTACTTGCTCATCGCATGAGGCTTTGGTTTGGATAGCTGAAAGTTGGTCACAATTTAAACTGTCGATCGAGAAATGGCGTGGGTCTTTTTTGACTAATAAACAAAATTCAAGATTTGCAAAATTTGCTGATAGCTGTTGGAGAAATGGATCAAAATTGAACTCGTAGCTTTGATTCCAGCTGCCCAAACTAGACTCTCACAGTATTGAAATATTTCTTATTCTTATAAGGACGCAATCTAAATTCACTTGCAATAACTCACCTTTCGTCTTCATCCGAGGACTCTTGTTCTCTCCGTTACTGAACGATCGCGACCTCTGCCTTACAAACGTCGAGCGTCTGCGGTCGGAAGGAAACTCAGAGACGTGAATCAAAACTTCTTTTTGTAGCGACATGTGACGAGCTTTCTCTGGTTCCATGGTTCATGAACAGCTTCAAGTTTGGTGTTGTATCCTTCCGCTTCTAAAGGACTGCTCTTACGACATTTTGCTTTATTGTTATTGTTTTTTGTCGGTTGGCTTCTCTGAGTTAAAGACCTCAGTTATTGTCCTATGATATTGGACCCAACAACGTCGCTATCCAAAATATGTCGAGAAAATCAACGGTGAAGTTATGCTCGAAATACTCAACCGTAATGTTCATTGGCATTCAAAAGCCAACTTGTGTCGCAGATTCAATATTTATCCCCGTGTTGACAAAATTTCAATCTTGTTGACCGGTGAGAGGACCAATAACAGATAAAATTCGTTGCCCGCGAAGAAACCTTGCGAAAACTCCTGATTGTTTTGAAGCTTCCCAAAGGCCAACAGACACAACTAGCCTATCAAGTGAACAATGATCCTGTAGAATCGAGCCAAATGAAAACGATGGTTCTGTCCATTCTAGAACTTAAAGCTCCGACTTCGACCCGACTGGTCGATACGCGCTATTTCTCAAGCATAACAGGAATGTAGACCTAAATTTTGCATATCGAGTTCAAAAGCATTGACCTTGAGCGCGAAAAATGATCTGACAAGAGATCGCTATCGAGTAACGCACAATACTACTGGCGAATTGCCGAACTCCTTGCCAAGAGGGAAAACCCCACACTCACAAAAAAAACGAAAAAAAATTCAGTCCACGGCGTGATGTTAGAGCGCACTAAAGAGGTTTTGGAAGTGAGTTAATTCTTTTCTAATTTCTTTTTTTTAACATAAAATATAAAACAAACCTATGGAAAGAAAGAAAGGCTAATATAAATATCATTCTTTTAAGGAATGGTTAAAATTAATAGCACAAAGGATTGAATGCAAAAATCATCATATCAATTTTTTGAAATTGAGAAAACAATAAATTAGCAACCGAAAAATAATTTCTTTCCGCAGATAAAACACACCTGTCAAATTAAAAATAAGTACATATGATTTTCCACCGCGAAAAGCATTCTTCTCTCGAAAACTTAGTGCAATAAAGCGATGACAAAACATTTATATTTAAAAAATGCTGACAAGACATCGAAATCCGCCAAAAAAAGAAGGAGTTTCAAGCCTTTTGGAATTTAGAATGAGCATGTGCTAGTATCATAATTTGTTGTGTTTTGTCTTCACTATTCAAAAAGTGATATCGGATGTAAAGCCTCCTCGGAAACCAGCGGGACATAATGTGCTTTCGGCTTCCGAAATCTCATTTCCTGAAAAGTTGTTCAGGAAAGATGAGATTAGACCAACGCTGGCGATTAAAGGGACTACGTCACGGTTTGTTTATCATGAAAAGTCTGGCCCAAATTTTTCAAGTTTAGACACGCTTGAATTAACATACTATTAGCATATAATTTGCATATCTGCCCATGCGCAGTTTTGTTCACATCCTCATCTACCTCGTGGCTCAAGTTGTTGGCTCATGTTATTTTTGATCTCGATTAATGTACAACCTATGTGCAAACTATAAGACTCTTTACCAGCCTGAGAATACATTGAAAACATGGACTTAAGCTTCCTCGTACTTTATTGAACGAGCCTATCCAAAGTTCGTCCTTTGTAATCGCATATTAATTTATAGAATCCTCTCCATCCTTAACCATCCTTGTTTCTTTAAGATTTATTAATTATCTCTTTGATTTTATTTCTGTCTAAGTGAACTATTATTTTCAGGTTTCCTTCACCTTCAAGATCATTTTGTGAGTCACCGTGGCCGAAATAACTCTAAAAGTCGTGCCTGAGCTGATTAAGGAAGACGAGTCCTTTGGAAACAAAGTGGGCATGGTATTACGACAGGAATATGATAAAGGATCAGCAAGTAGACATATATATATTTATTATTTTAGTATTTCCCAATGCAGTCTCTTAACTAACGGCTAGAAATACCCCTGGGGTACTCTCTCGGCTGAGATAATGATAGTTCACCCTTTTAGAAAGTATCTTGCAAGACAGAGAATCCCTTCTCTTTCTGCGTTATGAAAGACGAGAGGGAACCTAAAAGATTTCCTCTCGTCTGATCTCTCACCGAGCAGAAAGAAATGAGAATCTCTGTCCCGCAGGATATTCAGAAAGTGAAAATCATATTGTTTTGGTTCCACTTACGGCGCTTCATTTCCAAAAGGCCACACATCACGGTACTTTAAGGATACCTTTTTTAAAGTGAGCCGCGAATAGAATATAGACATGTTCTCTGTCAAAGAGTTCAGTACAATTTATGTTTTTGCTGTTGTCTGAGAGTTGAATCAATTCCAGCTATTAGTACTATGAATTATTGAAGTTGGTAAAATACATTCTTAAATATATACCCATCAAAGCGTGAATTTTTGTATGTTTCTCAGGAACTCGAACTTATAAACAATCAGCAATAACGAGGGTAAAATAATCTGTTATTTTTAGTCTTACGTTGAAAGATTGCCACGGATGTATGTCACAGAAGGCTAGAGTTACGCACACTTGGTACTTGGACGTGAGCCCTGACACGATAGAAAAGACCCTTAGAACTAATAAGCCTTTAATTTAAAAAGAGGAATTTAACCAATCAAATTTTTCAGTGATCTTTTAGTGTTGAGTTGAAGCTTCCGAGGAGCGTTCACAACCACGGCTTGTTCCGGATTGACATGACAGATTACTCCTCGTCAGAGGTTGGCGGCGAGGGCCTGGTGACTAGAACCCCGGGAACTTGCAGGAAGATGACAGATATGGAAAGGAAAACGGCGACGAGGTAGCCTACTAAGAAAAACCGGTTGATAACCCGCGCGGCCAGCTGCCATTCGTCTTGTACAGTTTCCTCTTCTTGCTTCTTCGACACTCTCTCCGCCATCATGGTGATACCACTAGGCTCTCTGGGAAGGCGCCGGCGAGCAAATGAGCCGTCATTGTCGCTGACAGCGGTATCTCGGTTGCCTAATAGGCCAGGAAAATCAAGAATACCAGTAAATATATCTCACAGACAATTTTTGTGCTAGAGCAATTCTTAACTTGTTTCCTGACTAACTGTTACAAACTCTAAAAGGGACAGTGTTCCCATTGACCAGATTGACCTTCGAAGATTGTCTGATATTTTGATAAATTGTCACATTTTTTTTTTAGTGAATACAACCAAATATATAAGTAAATTGTGCCACAGAGCCCAAAATGAAACAAGTATTTCTAGGAAAAAGTACATATTAAATAACCAGGATGGAACTTCAGTTACATTTCATTAAATTTGATTTTATGACGGGATGTCAAGAAATCAATCACCATTTTTCAGGAGGCCGTCATTACCATTGCTTTTACGATCCTCGAATCCTCGATATAACGAAGGGCCAAGGGACTGGCAAGAGACTGGCAAAATATGTTCCCTTTAAGGAGGTTTCGTTATATTGGGGTTCTTTTCCATATATTTTCCCGTGTATTTTACTTTTACTGGGGCCAAAATTAAAGTAATATTCCTTATAATGAGAGCTTCATTAAATAGAGGTTTGTTAAATGGGTGTTCCAGTATACCTTGAACTTCAACACTGCCGTTCACCGAGGAGCTTCCATCCGGGACTTTATATAGCACTGCTCTGGCGATATAACCAAGAATGTAAACCTGCGAGAAAGCATATAGGCCTGACATGAGATGAAGTCTGCACAGCGGGTCTAAAACTCGCAGAGAAGTGTACAAAACAAATGACAACAACAGCAACAACAACAACAACAACAACAAATTCCTTTAAAGCCCATACACTTTATAGACAGAAAATATTAAATTCAATAGATTACTGGCTGCCTCGAAGATAGCCACATTGACCTCTAGAGCCAGGCAGTCACTTAAGATATACACAGACAGATAAACTGAAATAATGGTCGGTTCACTACATTTAAGTCAAAATAAGACAGTGACCATACCCTGACCCAGTTAGGAACTTTTCCAACCGATGTGTTGTAATGATGAAACCGTAAAACCCAGCATGTCAAACCCAATGCGCATGCGATCTCGATGATGGTCAGTGAGTAATATCTGAGGAGATAACATAATTTTAGTAACCCAGTCACTATTTATTACCTGACCGGTTGAACAAATATATGAAAAAAATACGATCCAGTCAGGATCCAACATATAATACACCGCGCGTAGTGCAAGTGGAGGTTGCAATGNTAATTTAAAAAGAGGAATTTAACCAATCAAATTTTTCAGTGATCTTTTAGTGTTGAGTTGAAGCTTCCGAGGAGCGTTCACAACCACGGCTTGTTCCGGATTGACATGACAGATTACTCCTCGTCAGAGGTTGGCGGCGAGGGCCTGGTGACTAGAACCCCGGGAACTTGCAGGAAGATGACAGATATGGAAAGGAAAACGGCGACGAGGTAGCCTACTAAGAAAAACCGGTTGATAACCCGCGCGGCCAGCTGCCATTCGTCTTGTACATTTTCCTCTTCTTGCTTCTTCGACACTCGCTCCGCCATCATGGTGATACCGCTGGGCTCTCTGGGAAGGCGCCGACGAGCAAATGAGCCGTCATTGTCGCTGACAGCGGTATCTCGGTTGCCTAATAGGCCAGGAAAATTGAGAATACCAGTAAATATATCTGCACGAACAATTTTTGTGCTAGAGCAATTCTTAACTTGTTTTCTGACTAACTGTTACAAACTCTAAAAGGGATAATGTTCCCACTGACCAGATTGACCTTCGAAGATTGTCTGATTTTTTGTTAAATTGTCATATTTTTTTTTTACTGAATATATAAGTAAATTGTGCCACAGAGCCCAAAATGAAACAAGTATTTTTAGGAAAAAGTACATATTAAATAACCAGGATGGAACTACAGTTATATTTCATTAAATTTGATTTTATGACAGGATGTTAAGAAATCGATGACCATTCTTCAGGAGGCCGTCATTACCATTGCTTTTACGAACCTCGAATCCTCGATATAACGAAGGGCCAAGGGACTGGCAAAATCTGTTCGCTATAACGAGGTTTCGCTATATCGGGGTTCGTTTCCATTTACTTCACTTTTACTGAGACGAAAAGTAACATTCCTTATAATGAGAACTTCATGATTAAATAGAGGTTCATTAAATCGATGTTCCAGTGTACCTTGAACTTCAACACTACCGTTCTCCGAGGAGCTTCCATCAGGGACTTTATATAGCACTGCTCTGGCGATATAACCAAGAATGTAAACCTGCGGGAGAGCATGTAAGCCTGGCATGAGATGAAGTCTGCACAGCGGGCCTAAAACTCGCATAGAGGTGTACAAAAAAATGACAACAACAACAACAACAACAATTTCCTTTAAAACCCTACACTTTATACACAGAAAAAAAAATTAATTAAATAGATTACTGGCTGCCTCGAAGATAGCCACATTGGCGTCTAGAGCCAGGCAGCCACTTAAGATATTACACAGATAGATAAACTGAAATAATGGTCGGTTCGCTACATTTAAGACAAAATAAGACAGTGACCATACCCTGACCCAGTTAGGAACTTTTCCAACCGATGTGTTGTAATGATGAAACCGTAAAACCCAGCATGTCAAACCCAATGCGCATGCGATCTCGATGATGGTCAGTGAGTAATATCTGAGGAGATAACATAATTTTAGTAACCCAGTCACTATTTATTACCTGACCGGTTGAACAAATATATGAAAAAAATACGATCCAGTCAGGATCCAACATATAATACACCGCGCGTAGTGCAAGTGGAGGTTGCAATGCAATCTCGCTCCAGATCACTTCGTTGGAAATTACGCCTAAAACATCCTAGTTGACAGTTTAGCAGCAGCGCTCTTGTTCTCTTTTTCCGGAAAAGGTTTGCGATACTTTCGAAGTTTTCCTAAAGTTTATACCTTGCGTTGTGTTACTGGCTACGACATTTTCACGGTCTCTACTTTTATCGACAATCATATATTTTACCTGCCGATCAGTGGCACCACCTCTGAGGTTTCAGGAATATGGGTTGAAGCCAGCAGATAGAAGACCGTAAGCGAAAGCAAAATGGTGACGCCCACCACCATCCTCTCGCCACTCTCAGGGGGTAGGGTGAACAAGATTAATGTCATGAATGACGTCACCATGCATGGCGCGATGAGGTAGACGAAGTAATAGAAGACCTTTCTTCGTATGTGTATCACGTAGGTTACCGCTGACTTGTTTTCTGTGTTGCTATGGGTTGCCTTGCTTGACGACCGCAGAGCATAAACTCTTTCCAGGTACCACTCACCGCTTTCTGCAATAAGGTAAGGTAAAGTCTGCACGCGAGCCAAGTGGCCCATCAGGCCGGAGCTTATCCCGGTTTCTGTAGTATGAAGCGACTAGGAGTATTTCTACTCCCCCTGGATGGGNTTAAATCCTACCCTATTATATACCTCCAGCCTGGAGTACCCCCTCCCCCAGGATGAAGAGGAGGAAGTATAGCCAGCCGGGATACTCGCAGACTTCACATCGACACAAAATCTTCTATGTCGGTCACACAAACATTTTAGGGAGAAAACTTTCGTTACGAGCCAAAAGAAGGTTTAGAAGCAAGAGTGTGAGGTAAGCCAGGGGCCCTTGGGCTCCTGTGTCTGAAGCTTACTTGTTAAGGAGCACAGTGTCTGGAACCCACACATCATCAGGCGACAAGCTTATTTCGTCGATCCAACCATATTGAGATTTGTTCCATCTCAACTCCGGATCAAACCAGGCCTACATCGAAAAAGTAAAGCAAAGCTTTCACGGTAAAAGGTGGGTAATGATAGGAGTCTATTTCCTGCAGATTAAGGACGGTGCCTACTTTTGTTAGTGCGCACACGTTCTGCGCACCACGCAAGCTATGGTTTAAGCAGGGCGGAAAAAGGCATATAAGCGCCCTGGTTTAAGCGTCACGCGCGCGCTGGGGTTGACATTGACACAATCAATTACGCTATCACGTACATGACTAAAATGCCAGCAAAATTTTCCTACTGTGACCAAATCAAGTTTAATGAACCTGCACGTAAGCTAGGAACACCAGAATAGCAGCATATCGCTAATCACTAACTGTTAACGTCTTCCAGCTGAAAACCTACCTGTTATCTCTTGAAAATTATGCTGAAATCCAACTGTAAACATGTACCTGCAGATGGCGTAGTGCGCGCGCAAAACAAGGGCGAGATACGCAAATGTCTTCCTTACTGGGGAGGTGACAGAAAAAAATATAACGGGCACCGTAAAAGTTTTCAAAAAAAGTGAATAACTTTAAAAAACGCGTGGTCACCCCTACATTTTATGTTATGAAATGGAAGTGACAAGCCTATTCCACATGCGATTAGTTTCTGTTTGTGAGCAAAAGGTATTTAGGCTGTATTTTAGCTGAACCAGAGGAAGGCTGTCAGAGGCGCTAAAAGCGCTGTTGCAACAATTTTGTTATTACAAACATACCAAAAATGGTTTTTATGTTACCATTTGCCATGTAGTTTAAAGATCTTTTTAAATGTGTTTGCTTTTCTGCATGTAAAGGCGAATTCTAAGGAAATTTGTAAAGAAATATCCTTTCGTTCTTTTTTCAGAAAAATGCTGATGTCAGCATTTTTGTTGAGATTCAAGGCTAATTACCTCGAAAATATGCGTGGCTACACCAATTTTTCTTTGTGGATTCCAATAGCCCTTGCAAAGATCTACTTTTTCCGCGTGGTCCTAACCTGGCGCAAAAAACCTTTGTATTTAGTAGGCACCGTCCTTAAATGGCGCTGTTTCTAACGATGCTTCAACGTATACGCCTTTATTGTACAGAAAGACGTCATTTCTGTTAGTAACTAACCTTATATCACAGATTTGAATTCTAATTAATGACTGTTGTATAGCAAGAACGCAACGACAACGAACCAAAAATCTTTAAAGCAGAAAAAATAAGAAAGTAACATAAAAGAACAATGAAATGTGCAGATTGTCTCTAATATCTCGGTTAGAAAAACAAAATAGGATACCATAGCTCGCATTGGGACAGTTCGTTGTTATGGTGACGTGAGTTTGCGAAACAACACATGTACCTATTTTTAAGGGTTAGGGACCAGGTCGTTCACGAGTACTACAGCGGATCACGGAATAATTCCCGTGCCCTGGTCACTTTGGTACGCAAGTACTCGGGTACGAAGTTTTCGCACTTTGTTTCGACAGCAGAGCTCGACTATTCCCCATATGTTTTCCTCGATAGGGATGTAAGATACAACATATAAGTGCCCTGCCTCGATCGTGACGTCGCCGTATCTTTAGAGCCTTGGCTGGCGAAAAAAGCACTCTCACTTGAAATCTAGCTATAGCCAGCTATACAAGCTACAGCAGGCTATACAGCTTGGCCTAGTACTAGTATTAGAGCTCATGATCTGTGGAGTTGATATTACTGTTTGTCCGTGATTTCTACCATGTTTCTCTTTACACTCACCTGCTTAAGCCAGACGCTTGTAATGATGACTTGTTTCTTGACGTCCTAGACGATATAGTAAAAAGAACGCGTTTTACATCCTTCAAAATTAATCCATTCTCCCACCCTTCCGTTATCACCCCGAGACCGTAAAAAATATCTGCAAAGGTCCTAAATGACCTAACGGCTCACACCCAAACGTCACTTCAGTTGTAAATTCACCCAAGAGAGGATAATAATAATAATAATAA